TTCAATGAGCCAACAGAGCAGTACGCCAGATGTCTCCTTATGCAATGGGGCCTCCCATTGTGAAATGGGTTGTATTTCACATCAGGGAACATTGCACGATGGGACTAGTTGCACATCAGAAGAGGCTGTGCATTGTAACTGATGAACAATGGCCATGCTGCGGGTTCTGACTGTTCAATATTTCTAATGGTGTCGCTATGTTTTTGCTCCCCTTCCGAGAATACAAAAATTGTGCAATAGCACCATTTAACTTTACACACTCATAAACCAGTTTATGATTATGTAACGTTCCAATAAGAGCCTAGCTCAAATCATTTTATGAACTGGCTGCACTTTCCATCTCGTCTTTCAAATTATGTAAGGCTTGTTGTTGGGATACTATTTGTCTTCTCATGTAGAACATCTATCTGCACTCTGTAGTCTCTAAAATACTGAGGAATGGTGGAGAATATTTGGACTGAGATTTGGGGAAATCATGTAGAAGTCTTTTCTGAACCCTGATATTCAGGAGGGGAAAATATGGAAAAATATGCTCTGTCTTTTAGCCTGAATGTGATGCTGAGATCCTTGCACACTACCTTGAATTCACTGGGAATAATAATTTCATTATAGCTAGCAAATAAATAAGTGGCATATCGCTGTCACCATTCCCAGTACTTACACATTCAATCAACTCACACAAGGGAACTTATGCCTACAGAATTCCTTGGGGTCTAGAATCTTGAGGATGCAGCCACACTACAGAATTATAGCAGTTTGACACCATTTTAACTGTCATGGCTAACTGCTATAGAATTCTGTAATTTTTAATTTTATGAGATATTTAGCCTTCACTGTCAGAGACCTCTGGTGCCACAACAAACTACACATTTCAGGATTCTATAGTATTGAGCAATGGCAGTTAAAATAGTGTCAACACACCTCAAATCAAGCAGCCATAGGCTAATACCAGTTAGAACAAATTAATAAAATACATTCATTTTAAAAGTTCACAGAAACGGTAGTGTCATTCACATAAAACAAGAATTTTACCACTTTAAAAAGAATGGCAAATTTATTATCACAAAGTGTAAGTTATTCCTGCTTTATCATTGTGCTGGTGAAGGCCACAGTCAATTAAACTTAAAGGAACATGAAAGCCCTAAGGTCTGGAATAGCACTGGCAAATTTATGTTCCAGTTTCCGTGAAACAGCACACCGAAGGGATTCTGTGCTTTAGATTTGCTAGAAAGATTAACTTCATGTTAGAAAGGTAAATTTGGCTGCTGTCCTTTGGAGAGGAAAATGCCCAGAGCTTCAGTCACGAGGAATATTATTTTAATTGAAATGCAACATTCAACAAGCTCCTTATATTTCAAGGGCATTGGTCTGTATCATGCAAGTTAATTCACATGACCTTCCCAAGCTGCCTTTTCAATGCATTGAGGATAACCTAAATGACAATTCTGCCATGTGTGACTTCTTCTGCATTAAAAAAATTCCATTCAGTTTGGCTACAATGAACACAAGCCTCTATGGTTTGTGGTATTACAAATTTTCCTTGCCTAACAATATAAAAATACAGACCACTCTAATTCAAAGATTTTATGTTTACCACCCTGAACAGAGGTTTGGGCTTGGTGTTAATGCTGTTTGCAAATTGGGCACCTCACAAGAGGACAGTTGATGATGCCACAGCTTTTAAAAGTTGATGGCAATGCAAAATTCTGGATCTGTTATTGAACTACTATATTGAATAATGCTTACTGTATTGTGGGGGGGGGGGGATAGATATGTCTTTGTGTGACATATGATGTTATTTTATGTGTAGTGTTTAATAATGTTTAATGTTTTATCAGGAGAGGGTCAATTTTGATGTTTTATACTTTTTATCAATAGCATTCAATAGTTGCCAACACTGTGAACTGCCCTGAGTTCCCTTTGGGGTTGAGAAGAGCAATATACAAATACCACAAATAATAAACATTCCCAACACAAAAACTGGTGTTAGTACAATCCCCATCAGGACTCTGTTTTGGTGCTATAAAATATTATTGAATATTTGGGAAGAAGGAAAGCTGAACACAACATGATAATGTAACAGAAAGAAAAATAAGAGCAAAGGTAACAGAGGGTGTAGTTAAAAAACAATGTCATGCATATTTTATTATTGGTGGATACTGAAAGATTCCCAATAACAAGATGCATGCAGAAAAGGAGGCAATAAGCAACAGAACAATGGAAAAGGGATTGAAATAATTTAGTGAGAAAAGTGAAGATAAGAGTCACAAACTAAAATACATGTGCAATAATTTAGCTCTTGATGCCAACAATCCAACCCAAATGAACAGTAAACCCACTAAGGATTTAAGTCACCCTTTTAAAGGTGAATGCATTCAAAAGTCAAAGCAACAACCTGTTGCTCCTATTTGAAAATGAAGTCAGCCTGGCCTTTATTGCAATCACAAATATCCACCCCTCTCTTTTGTTCCAGTCTGCCTATAAAGTCTAGCCAACTGATTTGCTACTGTGCAGTCACAAAACCTTAAATAGAAGAATATTAACATATTCACTTTCCTTAAAGGGCAAAAAATAAATAGGATACAATCTTATATCTGTTCACATAAAAGTGACTAAATCCAATGACATTTGCTTCCCCAAAGACATATTCTAGATTGTTCTACAAATGGATAAACGGCATTCTGAATGTCTTACAAAAAAGGTCCAACAAAAATTATTTGTCTTCTCACTCCAAAGCCCTGCTGTAGAAGTGTGTTTGTTAAGTAAGTAAATTAGAGGGGAGATATTTATTTATTTATTTATTTAAAAAGATGGGATAAAGTGGTGGTGGGGAGTTATGGAGAGAGAGAATTAGGGGATTATTTCTGTATTGTATTGTTTGCTTTATTCCAGGGTCTTTGCTTTTTAATTTTAACTGTAATGGGTTGGATCAAGTTGCATTTTTGGAAAATTAAATAAAATTGCATTTTAAAAAGGAGTCCTGGATCAGAAAGAGTTACATTGGGCAAGAAAGCAATAGGAAATGAAAAAATGAACTCAATGTTGAAGTGAGGCAGCACATCAGTCTTAAATAACAGGATGTCTTTTCCCAATTCTTTCCCTTTATTTTTTTAAACCTCGTTATTTTTTCTGTCATCTCTCTGAACAGCCTTGTCATCTTTATCATTCATTAGCTCTGTCAGTGTGGCTGAGACCTGGTATGCCTACCGACACAGGTAAATCTCATCATTGTTTTATGTCTTGGGAAGTTGCTCTTTTGTCCTATCCAACTATGCATCAGCAGCGAGGGCTCCTGGGGTACTTTTGTTCTCTTGGCTACTGATTGGTTATGACTGTTAACTTTGCATTAAACTGTCTCCTTCCATCCCCAAACTAAAACTGCTCTTTCTTCCCTGGGTTTATAAAAAAAACCTGGAACAATCCAACAATCACTCCTACACTTCTCCTTATTTGTCTAGCAAGAAGTGTCAGACAGTTAGTGAATGGTTCCTCAGTTCTCCTCGTGGCAGTCAGAAGTCATGGGGATGGAGCTCTGACAACCACCCACTCCTCACACAACTGTTGCATTGCTGGAGCAAGGAACAGTATAACTAAAGCCCCTTCTACACTGTACTTATATCCCAGGATCCAATCCCAGATTATCTGCTTATTCCAGATTATATGGCAGTGGAGATTCACATAATCCAGTTCAAAGCAGATAACCTGGGATCAGATCATTGGATATAAGGACAGTGTAAAAGCGGCCTAAGTAGAGGTTGAGTATCCCTTGTCTGAAATGCTTGCAACCAGAAGTGTTTTGAATTTTGGATTTTTTGGGGAGAGGAATTTTTAATTACTTGAATTTGTATAGACACATATAATGAGATGTCTTAAAATCTAAGCACAGAATTCATTCATGTTTCATCTGCACCTCATAACACAGGCTGAAGGTAATTTTACACACAATATGCCAAATAATTTTGTGCATGAAACTAAGTTTGTGTGCACTGAAATATAAGCAAGCACAGGTTGCACTATCTCACCCACCCCATGTGGATTTAGAATCTGCAGTATTTCACATTTTTAAATTTCTGAAAGGATAATCAGCCTGTATTGGATGTTTCTTTTCACAACAGCCCCTCAAAGTATATGTACAAGGTCTATATTAGTTACAGGATTCTGACTGTTATGGGCTTTCTTTGTCAACAAGTTATTAAGGGACTTGTCTCCTGAAATAAAATATAATGTTCTCCCCTCTCCTACATTTATGCAAGTCTACACTGGTGTCTGCAATAATCGTGATCTGTTCTACAACTGCATTGGGATTAATATTTACTCCCTATTTAAATAAATAGGACTTGCACTTTGATACATCTGGTGCAAAGCATGGTCTGCAATGATTGATGGAGGACTAGTAATGTAATTAAGTACAGATTGCTTATGGGACATAGTAGGCTGTCTGAACCTAATAATCCCAGGACAATGACAAAGCATTGAGCACAAATTGGTTTTGAAAGATTGCAGTGGAAAGAAATTCTTTGGTGGGAAAAGAAACTCCCTAATGCAAAACTTTAATTAAAACTATGAATGTGCTGTTGAGGGGCTAGCTTGGAGAAAGCTGGTGACCTTGTCCTACCACCACCTCCCATAAAAGCTTGTTGGCATTTTAAAGATTTGCTGATTTATACAGGCTGCCAGCTGGGAGAGTGCTGCCTAGTCACTATCCAAAGCATAAGAATGGAGGGACCATCCATTCACTGTCTGACACTTTTTGGCAAACAGAGAGAGAGGAATGTAGGAGTGGAATTTAGTCCATTCATTCTAGGCACTTGTTGTGAGCTGTTAAAAATCATAAAGACAATAGGTAGGACTCTTATTGGGAAGCCTATAAGTGTTTGTGTATGCTAAATCAGCATTGTTCCTGCACATACTCTGTTCCACCTAGTGGCTCATACACTTCATTCTGGTTTATCTCTGAGTATCTACAACCCTCCCTATGGTAAGACATAGTCAACCCAAAGTTCTGTTACATCACTAAGCAAAGGCTTGTTCATGTTTTGAAATGATAAATGTTTGTGCACCATTGCTCACACCTTGTTCATAAAAACTGCTATTTTCTCTAATTCCATCACAACACAGAATCATAATTGCTGGAAGAGTCTACAAGCATTATTCACGCATTCAAAAATTGCACTTCTCATTTAGTACACTCTCTATAGGTGATTTTGCCTCTTACAATGTGTGGAATAGCAGGATAGGTGAAAAAAACTTCCAAGTATATAATGTGCAAATCATTTCTTCCAGAACTGTATTATCTTTGTCTTCTGATATCTGTTTGCTGAATCCTTCAAAAGGAATAATCAAGTCTTCAGGAACAGTATTGCAGATATGTTCACAACAGCAAGGACACTACAGATTCTACATCTGCAGGCATTTTTTTCAGATTTTGGCAGCTGTTGCATTTTTAGAAGAGTACAACATCTTAGTGGCAACCAATAGAAACTGGCAGCTGTTGGGAAGGGTCCATTGTGCTCTTGACAGCTGTCTTCCATTGCTTCCACAGCTACTATATTCTCATGACCTAACTCAACTATTCCAAATTCCTTGCAAAAGTAAAACAAATCTGTCTTTGGAATCACTTCAACTGAGCACGTGTATCTATTTCCCTTAATACACAAAATAGTGTGTCTGCAAAAAGGGAACTTTCTACTTTCTGACTGAGAATTTCATTGTCACAAGTCCCCAACGTATCCTTTCTGTGCAGATTTCAAAATGGCTGTGCCTGACCAAGAAAATCAAGCTTCCTAAAGAAACCTGTCAGCGTGCAAGTGCCATGATGAGACTGGCACACATTTCAAAGAAATCCATGGTGTGGCTGCCAAGACGTGGTGTAACAGAGGGCATGCTACCTGTGAAGGAGCCAGTGAGAGACCCCGAAAGTGGTTGGTAGTCAGCAGTGGCAGAATCAAAACTCAGTCTTGGTCTGTGCAATCGAGCTGCAGAGCATGAGCGCTGAGGAGTGGAAGAGCCTGATCTTTGTTCCATGACATCATCTTAAAAGCAGAAATAGAAAGTTAATTTATCGTATCTATTCTAGATGGTACGAAGCTTCAAGTTCCTTTCTCCCCCTCTTGATCTGTCGCATATGCTTGTGCAGGTCCGTAGCCAGGATTTCGTTTCAGGGGGGGGGGGGGGGGGAATTTTTCGGGGGGGCTGAGTTTTGGGGGGCTGAGTCTGAGTGAAAGAGGGTCTAGCCTAGCAAACCTTTTGTATCATTACCCAATACCCCCATGCATCTGGGATATATTGAGTATGGTGATCAGATCATGATATGAATAAACATAACAGTTTAAATAATGCACCATTAAGGCCTTTTCGCGAACCACCATGAAAATTTCGGGGGGGGGGGGGTGAAGCCCCCCGAGCGCCCCCCCCCCCCCCCCCCCCCCGGCTACATGCCTGTGCTTGTGAGTTTTGCCTCTAAAAGAATAGACTGAAGATAAAGACTTGGAAAGTTTATACTTTTTAAGGCTTTCCCATAAATTATTTTTAGAAAATGAAACTTGGAAAGTAGTACTAACAACAACAATTTTATAAAGCCCTACATGGTTCGGGTCCAGCTTATCTTCATGATCGCATCTCCCCCAATGAACTGGCGTGGGCTCTTACATTTTTTAGGTCTGCTTGTATGTTTTCCACAAACGCCCCATCACTTTTTCACCCTTGTTCCAGCATTACTTTCAATTTTAATTTTACATTTGGCCTTCCCACAGTTTTAATTGTGTGTTGTCTTAGTGTTAATGTTTCATTATTTTATTGTCCATGTTTTATTTTAATTGCTTGTATTGTTGTTATTATTGCTTGTATTGTTGTATTTGGGCTCGGCCTCATGTAAGCCGCACCAAGTCCCTTGAGGAGATGGTAGTGGGGTACAAATAAAGTGTTGTTGTTATTATCATCATCATCATCATCATCATCATCATCATCATCATCATCTGCCGGGGAGGCTCTCCTCTTGGTCCTGCCTCCTTCTCAAGTGCAGTTGGTGTGGATAAGGGAGAGGGCCTTCTCAGTGGTGCCTGCCCCCCAGCTCTGAAGCACCCTCCTCAGCGAACTTAGGGAAGCCCCCACACTACATCACTGTGGGAAAGAGCTAAAAACTTGGCTCTTTCAACAGGCCTTCAATAACTGTTAAGTTAGCAGCCAGACTCCTATCTTTAGCCAGGGAAGGCTAAATTTATTGTATGGATCTTTTAATCAATGGCTACTGCCATATTTTATTGACTTTATTGCTCTTGCTAATTTTATATGTCTGGTTTTAAATGTGTTGTTGGTTTGATGTTGATACACTGTATTTTATATGTTGTGTGGTACCACTGTGTGGTATTTGTAACTGCCCCAAGTCCCTACGGGAGAAGGTGGCAGGGTATAAATAAAAGTTTATTATTATATTATTTCTTACCCACCTCTCCTCGTGGCTCGAGGCAGGTTACAACATTGCTAAAAACACCCATTCATCTAAAAACATTCTACAAAATACACATATTAAAATGTATTTCTACAAAATACATATTAAAATACACATAACAAAGATTAAACGTAAAACACTGGGTAGGCCTGCTGGAAGAGATAGGTCTTTACATGGTTTTTTAAAAGTCTAAAGCTCATTTAGCTCCAATGGATGGAGTGAAGAAGTAAGATTTTGTTCCAAGAGCCTAAAAGCATGATAGTTGACATGCAAACTCAGAAAAGACCATCAGGTAAATGAAGAAATTTCTCTTGCACCCTACACTTCTTTAACCAGATGACTTCCGTATTTGTTAGACTATAACCTCCATCATCATCAGACTGCTCTCCATATGAAGTATAAAGAATTGGAACTGCAGTCCAAATCAACTAGTAGGAAGTTAGAAAAATCATATAAAACTATCACAATACTAGCAATGAGTGGTAGAGTAATAGAGTTCAAGCAACAGCTGTCCAGACAAAAAGGTATGATAAAGTAATTGAAAAGTTTTAAATGTGTGAAAAGAGATCATATTATTTCAAATCAATGCTTCTTTATATTTAAGGTTTTATGCAATGATAGTTCCGCCTTACCATCAATACTTTTAAAGTCCAGCAGATAGCTGCGATTGTCAACCTGATACAGCTGCAAACTCATTTTTACAAAATTCCCCGTCACTGGATTCTTTCTACGAACTCTAAGATGATAAGCATTCACCACCTACAACATATAATTATTGCACAAGGGAGATAATGACTTTTTATTATAATTTAATTTCAAGAAAACAAGTTTATCTTTATTAAAAACAAGAATGAAATCCTATACCCTTGTATTCAAAAGGAACTCTGTTGACAATACAGTCGTATGCACACCTTTCTGGCAATAAGTCCCAGTGAACCCCTTGAGGCTTACCACTGATTAAATGTATTCAGGATTGCATCTCGACTGGCTTAAATGTCAATCTCTTGGCTTAATAAAACAATGAGTATGAATTGTGAAAATAAATCATGAATACAAGATAAATTCATTATCTGTCAAGAGTATGTGCCTTTGAGAATTTATTTAAATTAACAGATTATCACATTTCAAAGCACATAATAAGCACATACCTTCCTAGATGTGCTCTTTATACAATTAATTTTAAAGCCTGTGTTTTTATTTTTTGCTCATCTAAATTCTCTTTGCTTGTACTGTGCTAATACAATTTAGGAGATTAGAAACAAAACATGGTTCTCAACCTGTGGGTCCCCAGCTGTTTTGACCTTCAACTCCTAGAAATCTGGTATACTGGTCGGGATTTCTGGGGGTTGTAGGCCAAAACATCTGGGGACCCACAGGTTGAGAACCACTGTCCTAGGCCATTCAGATAGCATTCTGGTACAGTTCTGTGATTAAATATCAATTAAAGAGAATTGCCACAAACACACAGACATCCCCTGCATATGATAATGATGTTATTTATTTAGAAAAGTATATCTGTTACACATAATTGAATTTCTTCCCAGATAAATATGTTCAGGACTCCAGACTTAATCCTGATGGGTCATTTTGGTGCAAAAAAAAAAAAACCAAACAAACACACAGTTTGAGCGCACACACCCCCATTCCAGTAGCTAAATTTTGAAATACTCCAAAATAGTCTATATGGGTATAAAGAATTTAAAAGGCTTATCGAGGCAGAGTGGACACAACGATCACACCTCTGCCCTCAGTATAATACAAATTAGAGGTTTGACCACAGGATAAATGTGAAAGTGACCGAATGTTCTTGGTAATATTTGCCGCCACCACCTCAGAAATTACTGGCCTGAGGAACCATAAGGGTGTGAATGTATTATAGGTAATGTGGGTTTGAGTTCTTGATCTTCTATGGCTTCCTCCCTAGCCGACTGGACTTTAAAAATGAGTTGTCTGAATAAGTTACTGAGAGAACAGACGGATTGAGGCATAAAACAGTTGAAAGTTAACTAAGAAAGAGTTTATTTTAACTTTAGAATAACAACAACTCATTGGAAATGAGGGGTACAGAATCTTGATGCAGTTGCAGTAACTTGGTTGCTTGAACAGACAGTTCCCCTGACAGAATAGCTTTAACCACTGTGAGGCTTCTATAGCAAACTGTTCTATCTTTAGACACAGTTTCTCTTAGAGCGCAGACTCCCGTCTGCCTCAACTCACTGGGCTATAAGGTATCTTTAAACCTCTCTTAAGTTTAATAAGACACAGCTCTCTTTTACTAGTCCTTTCGACGTAGTAAAACCCTAGCCTAATGTCTTCACCTTATTCCCAAACCTATAGGCTCATTAAAAGCTCTTCTTCCCCTGTCAATTCCCTGCTGTAACTTCCTCTCTAAAAATCCACAACCTTCTCTCTCTCTAGTCTAAGACCCTTCTCCCCTTTGTGTCAAAACTGGCAGCTTATTTTCCCTCTCTAAGCTGACTCCTCCCCCAATTGCTACACCCAATCAGGAGTCAGCCTGACTCCTCCTCCTGCTCTGCTTGACTACCAAGATGCCAGCCACTGCCATGCAGGCTTCGGCCTAGCCGACTAAAAGGTAGATCTATTACAATGGGTAACTCAAATAATTACATCTTTTCTTTCAGTGCATGCAAACTTTGTTTCATATTCAAAATTATTTGAAATATTATTTAGAATTACCTTCAGATTGTGTATAACATGCATATGGCACATATTATACATATATATGCATAAGTTGACATCATGTATAAGTTGAGGACAGCTCCTGGGATCAAAAATACAGATTTTTATATGGCCTGTGGATACGATGAAGGCCATTACATGGAAAGAGGAAAAGTACCAGCACCTGTTCATAGGGTCAGCTGCCTGACCACCCCTGAAATTTCCCCACTCTGGCATTCAAAAAGCCAAAAATAATGCCATGGTGGAGAGATTAGAAGGGATTGGTGCATCTTTTACATTCTCCTACAATGGAATAATCTCATATTTTTCATCACTCTAGTCAGATTGTTCAATTTTTTAAGAGTTAAGGTACAATACTCACATTGACTCGTGGACAAGTCAATCCAGGTTTTTTAGTTAATTTTTTTACTAAAATTTCTGGACTTAAACATGGGTATATAGGATATATGAATTTTGTGTTTATATTTTGGGACCATCTTCAAGATTCTAATATTCTATATCTCATTATGTAATAAGCAATACAGGTATTCCAAACTTTGGGGGGGGGGGGAACCAAGATCCAAAATACTTCTGGTCCCATGCACTTCACATAAGGGATATTCAACCTGTATAATGACATTTTATATTCCCTTTTTGGGTTCAGAAAAAAATCAGCTAAAATATACAAATATGTACAACAAATACAAATAGCAAAATGCAAATAATCAATCACAAAGTAATTAAATCCACATGGAAAAACCCAAAATAAAATGAGCAGAAAATATAATATTTAAAAAGTAAATTCTGAATGTATTTTGGTATATATACAATCCAGCTTCCAGTGAACATATCTATTAAAGGCAGATACTTTCAATGTATTTTAGTCCATATACAGTCTAGCTTCCAGTGAACATATCTATTAAAGGTAGATATTTTGAATGTATTTTAGTCCATATAGAGTCTAGCTTCCAGTGAACTTATCTATAAAAGATAAATAATAGCTGATAAATACAGCACCACTGCTTATGAAAGATGTGTTAACAGCCACAGAAAAATAAAAAAATGAATCCATTCAATAGCCAACACTGACTTTTGCCTGTGAACAATTTATTGAAAAACTAGAGGAGAGCATTTCTCCAATAGAACTACTAATTTTTTTGATATGAAATCATATTCATCTCCAAATACAACTAGAAATGAAGGATATATAGAATATGATATGAGATGCTTTAAGAGGCCAGTCCTCTATATGATTATTCAGGAGTATGTTAGAGTTCTACTGTGTTAAATGAAACTCATATCCAAATAGATATGTAAAAAATGCAGCCTGAGCTTATTTTACAAACAGAATAATACTGTGCAATGTAGAAACTACCCATTAGTAAATAGAAGACTCAGCTGGAAAATATCCCACTATTTAAAACTGATTTAAGGTGACAACATGGCAAGGTCTTCTCTGGCCACATGGGTCCTTGAAACCATACACAAATAATAGGCAAACATCTTTTCTTAAGAGCTTTCAGGAAGATTAGTTATTGAGAAGGGAATTAATGACTAAAATTAGAAATCTGAAGAGTTCCCTGTATCCTTACAGCAGTGCCAGGCAGAATTATCTCCCCATCCTCAAGCTCAGTCAGCTTAAGGAAGAAAATATGTTAACATAAGCCAATTATTAAAAATAGAAAGTATTTAAATACAGTTACAGTGCAATCTTATGTCTGTCTGCTCAGAAGTAAAACCTACTGAATTAAGTCGGTTTTGTTTCTAGATAAGAGTGTTGTAATGTTTTAATATTCAAAGGAGGGTGAAGTAAACAGACTAAATATATGCTCAGTTAGATATTGCTGATGCTATCCTGACAGTAAACAGTCTACTTATTTAGTTACACTGAAAGCCTAGACAACATTGGAACCAGAGCACAGAAAAGTAAAAAAGGAACATTTCCAAACTCTGTTAGGATCAGGATATCTGAAGACTTTGGTCCTTTATCAGAGACCCTGCTCTGAGTGCCCCCACAGAGTCAGAAATTAGGGGAATGGTAACAATAAAGACAGAGGGCATCCTCACCAATCAATCCCCTCAATAGGATGGACCATCTTCTGCATTTTCAGCTCTAGGAAAATGCCATTAACTATGATGTGCTTCCTGAACATCTATAGTGAGATAGAATGCTGCTGCTAGTTTCATCCCCTTATGAAGTCCAATAATATTTATTGTACACTCATATTGTTCAGAGATGGGGGCATGCAAAATTAGTCCCAAGGGCCACAAATGCCCCCAAGATTTATTTAGACAGGGGGGAATCAGCCAAAAATCCTCTTTTCCCATAATAGGAGGCCTCTAAGAGAAACACCTTCACCATTTGGAGCCATGGAGAAGAAGAACTCAACAGGTTCCTGGACCATCTTAACAGCATCCACCCAAACATCCAGTTCACCATGGAAAAAGAAAATGAAGGAAGACTGCATTTTCTAGATGTCCTAGTCATCCGCAAACCAGATCAACAATTGGGTCACACCGTCTACAGAAAACCCACACACACAGATAGATATCTACATAAAAACTCCAACCATCACCCAAGTCAAAAAAGAAGCACCATTAAAGCCTTGGCAGACCGTGCAAAAAGAATCTGCGAACCCCACCTCCTCCAAGATGAACTGAACCACCTCAACTGGGCTCTCCAGGCCAATGGATACTCCACCTCAGACATCAGAAGAGCTGCAAGACCAAGAACACGCCACGAGAGTAAAGATGAAGATCCACCCAGAGGAAAAGTGTTCCTGCCATACATCAAGGGAACCACTGACCGCATAGGGAAGCTGATGAGGAAACACAACATACAAACAATCTACAAACCCACCAAGAAAATCCAACAAATGCTACGTTCAGCAAAGGACAAGAGGGATCCTCTTACCTCTGCAGGAGTCTACCATGCAGCTGTGGACAAGTCTACATAGGGACCACCAAACGTAGCGCCCAAACACGAATCAAGGAACATGAAAGGCACTGCAGACTACTTCAACCAGAGAAGTCAGCCATAGCAGAGCACCTGATGAACCAGCCTGGACACAGCATATTATTTGAGAACACAGAAATGCTGGACCACACCAACAACCACCATGTCAGACTACACAGGGAAGCCATTGAAATCCACAAGCATGTGGACAATTTCAACAGAAAGGAAGAGACCATGAAAATGAACAAAATCTGGCTACCAGTATTAAAAAACTCTAAAATTACAACAGCAAAACAACAGAGAGGAAACAACCAGGCACAGATTAACACCTCCCAGCAAGAGATTTTCCCAGGCTCAGGCAGGCCTTCAAATGCTAATGAAGGTGATCAGCTGAAACATTCACACCTAACTGCAGCAGGAAAGAGCTCCTTGCCCCACCCCAGCCATTCCACAGATATATAAACCCATTTTTCCTACTTCCAACAGACCTCACTACCTCTGAGGATGCTTGCCATAGATGCAGGCGAAACGTCAGGAGAAATGCCTCTAGAACATGGCTCTATAGCCCGAAAAAACCCACAAGAACCTAGAAACATTTTAGGTTACACAAGCTTGAAAAGCTCATTTCCATAAAATATTGAAATTGGCACTGACTATCTGGACACTTCTGATTATGTTTCATTACTATTTTCCCTCTGTTTGTTAAGGCTTAATGTGGACCATGATGAATCCTAGGAACAAAAGGCTAGCCTCCAGTCCCACCTAGCCCTGTTGTCATGGATCACAATCATGCCAATCTCCAGCATCAGAAGTAAGATGTCTCTGAGTACCGGCACAAAGGCACTATCATGTTCCTTATTACTTGTGAGCTTTCCATAGCCATTTGGTTCACTTCTGTGGGAAAGAATAATGTGCCAGATGAGTAAAGAGTAGGAATGATGTGACCCTTCAGAAGCCTGCTAGACTGCAACTCTCAGCCACCCTGAGTCCTCAAAGAAGAGATGGGACAAGATACAAATGAAGTTTATATTATTGTGATGTTAGGTCTCCTGGGACATGGTGTCCAACAATATCCAAAGAACTGCATAATTCCAGCTCCCAATAAATCTTTTAGTCTGATTTTATTTTCTTTGTTTTCTTTATGTATAAATAATGTAAAGCTTTCATTTACATATTTATATTAATGTTTTAAATTATTCAAATAAATAAATTAAATAGATATGTACTAATAAATATAACTGCAAAATATAATAAGGCAAAAAACACTGATATTTCTCACCTTCCATTCAAACTCCAGTTGTTTCATAGCACGGTAGACTTCAGCCATGATATCATAAGGCTTGCTTTGACTCCGTATCCCTAAATGCCACTTGGCCTTTTTCACAGTCAGTGGTTTTGGCTTTGTGGTATTCAGTGCATCCAGGGGACACTTTGCTTTGGGACTATCTGCTACCAATGGAGGCATCCGCTCTGGGTGAGGTTTTACTCCTGGAGGGATGTGCATAGAGTCATCCATAAAAGAGCCAGAAGGAGGGCTAGAAGCGAGGTAGAATTCACTGGCTTGGTTCATGATTCTCCGATTGTCAATAATAAGGTGATAAGCGACTGCAAGTTGATCTTGAGGATCTCCACTGTATAGGCTTGCCATCACCTCAGATTCAGTGCATTCAAATTTCTCACAAACCTCCCGCACAGCATCATCATCAATGACATTGGCATCATAGGAAGGGTCTTCAGGAAACAAGTAATTGGGCAGATCTTGCTTGAACCACTCATTTTCTCTAGAAAAAGAAGTGTCACCTGACAATTAGAAATCTTATTTAACACTACCTTAATCTGAATTATTGTGAAAGATTAAAAAAAATTAAATCATTATCACAGGCAACTTATATATGCTTAGCAACTTTGAATTTCAAAGAGCCAAGACTTTTTTACGTCCTTAGTATTGTGAGCAATAGTTTTGGGAAATGATACTGAAACAACTACAGAGGGCAAGATTTTACAGGATTAAAATAAAATACTCATTAACAGGAAGGATTAAACTTGATGGGCACAGGGTTTGTTAATTGTACAAAAGGTCTTTCTGCAAATATTTTGTAAAGAATGACTTTGTTCCAGCCATATCATGTGGCCACAAAGGGCGGTATTATTTAGTAACCTGGGCTCAGGGCTATGCAAAATTGTTGATACATATTTCTTTGTTTAAGAACGTTGTTCTTTCTTGTTTTAAAAAGGCTCCTCCTCTACTCTGGGTGGGGCTTCACTCTTGTGAGGATGTCCATAGTGTCATCTATAAGAAAACAATTGAGAAGACTGCAGGCACTCCTGCTATTTCACCAAATGCTATTTCCATAAATGAATTCATATGCAATAATGTTCAATCTTTGTCTATCCCAGCCTACCTGTCTTAGCATGCATGACTATGCAATAATGCAATGTTTCAATTACAGAACATTAATAAATAAATAATAAATACTTTATTTATAGACTTGCCTCTCTCCAAGTTACTTCTTACTCAGTTGATTTCTTTTTGATATCACAAATGTCAGTCTTCTCTACCACAGAGAATTGTTTTAAGGTAACATTTTAAAAAATGGCTCTAAAATTACCGCATATCCTTTATGGTTGCTCTTTTGAGTGGGTCAACCTGCAACATATGCATCAGTAGAGTGGCGACCGCACGGTTGAGGTATTCAGGAATGTAGAAGACACCTCCACGGATTTTTTTAAAGAGGGTTGGAACGTGGTCGTCATCAAAAGGAAGGGTCCCACAGAGAAGAGCATAGAGAATAACGCCACAGCTCCAAATATCAACCTCTGGACCAGCATACAACCTAGACAAAAAGATTATGTGAACCAGTTCCTTAATACAATACCTGTAAAGCAGGGAGAGGAAGAGAGGGGCAATACTGTGAAACACTGAGCAATAATTTCTACTTAGAATGGCAGCGGTAGAATATCTTATTGTGGTAATATCCTTCCTACTAATTTAGTAGATCTGGTTTCTCAACCGAGAACTATCCAAATTTGTCCCATGTGATCCCTCTGCTATTTATTATCCAAATCTCTTTAAGGAATTGCTTGGCATTTCTGCCCCTTTAAGAAACTGTTCCTTAGATGTGTGCTTTTCTTTTGGGAATGTCTTAGTGCAAGAAATGTAAAGTTCCTATACTCTGATTCATTTTTGTGCTACTGTTTCTTGCTTAAAAATTAATTACATAACCTACAAAACAGGATGCTGTCATATGAAGGTGAATTACAGCACTACAAACAAATCAATGATTAGTTGTACAATTTTCAGTGTTAGCCACTTTGGGAGAGAAGAAGCTGGATACAAATGCAGACAGACAGATCTATAGCTACATCTATGACAAAGCTTGTACCCTCTGGCTTTATATTCTACCTTCCAGAGATGACTTCTGGTGCTGCATAGTTGGGTGAGCCACAGCTGGTACGGAGGAATTCACCATCAGACATCATGTTGGACAAACCTAAAAAAGAAGACTTTCACATGTCCACCCACCCAGATGAAACAAAAATGTTAGGCATAATGCTAAAAGGAAAATTTAGGCAAGGAGGAATAACAGGAAGAACAGAGAAGAAACATCCACCTGTCTACCTACCTATCGTGTGTGTGTGTGATTATGTATGTTTGTGGTCAATTTCCTATTGGCTCCCACTTCCAGAAATAACTGTGACCCCTACCAATGAGGGATCTGGACCAAATTTGGCACACAGAACCCCCATGACCAACAGAACATACTGGAAGGGTAAAGAGGGACTGACTGAGTTGCATCCAGGGAGCACTCTGACTCCCACCATTGATGGATCTAAACCAAACTTGGCACACATACCCAACATGACCAACTGTAAGTACTGATAAGGGTTGAGGGGGATTAACCTGGCATGATGTGAGTTGTGGTCCACTCACATCCTTATACATTTTCTTAATGGGACCATTCATAAAATCTCATTGTTCATATGACAGTATGTTCCCACATATTAAAATACTAAAACAAATTAATAGTACATAGAATATTGGAATTCAGGGAAATGACTGAATTCACCCTGAAATGTAACTTTTGATGTACAAGAGTTTTGGCGAATGCAAAATATTGGAAGAACATTCATTCATGTAGTGTCTCACATACAGGTCTGCTACCTTGATGAGAGGAATAAGCCAGCTTACAAGTTATTTTACAGCCTCACAGAAATTGCTAATGATGATGAAAACTGACTCTGAATTCTTTGAAGGAAGTTAGCCCTGCAGCCTGTGCTGGTGGCTTACAGCCAGTTACATTTCTGGAATGCTACTGGGGTCACATACCAAAATCAGCTATCTTGGCATTCATGTGTGCATCCAGCAGCACATTCTCTGGTTTCAGATCTCTGTGAACCACCATGTGCCGATGACAGTAATCCACAGCTGACAGAATTTGCTGGAAAAGACGCCTGGCTTCAGTCTCTTCCACCTACAAAGCAGAGGAAGGAAAACAATAAGGTTCTCCCCTCAAAAAACTAAGATACTTAGCAAGGCAAAATGTGTCTCCTTAATGAGCCACAAGAGAGAGAATTATAGTAAACACTACTAAACAAACAGAAAAATACCACCCTTAGAAGATATTTCATTGCAGTATTCTCTTATGAGTAAGGCTGTTAAGCAATTAAATGCTGCTAAAAGTTTTTAAACTGCGACTTTAACAAAAGCAAAACTTCGACTAATTGCTTTGAAAAACATTTCTGCTACAGATCACAGTTCTCAAAAGTTCTTGGGCAAAGAACTTCACCAAAGCAAGTCCCCTCATTCTACTCCTTCTGTAGATTCAGAGACTACAATAGGAAAGATTGAGTTTCATCAACTTAAACTTTTGGAGATTAGGGCCAACATCAGATTTGGCATGTCTGGACATCGTGCAAGGTCCTCATCTTGCTATGGGATTCACTGATAAGCCTCCTGGCTCTGCTGCTTCCTTTTGCTTTGTTTTCTGCTTATTGTTGAAGTCTTTGTTTTCTCACTCCCCAGTCGAGGAAGGAGCAGGAGGAAGGATGAAGGCAAAGATGAGGATAGGCAGCTGCTGCCACCCACTACCTTGACAGTCCAGTCCCTGGTAAATTAGTGGTTAGCAGTAGTGGCAGTGAGAAGGATGAGACAACCAAGAGGATCTTATCATCATCGAATTAAAATCTGAACCATGGTTTGATGTTAAACATACATGTAATCTCACGAGAGGTTGTTAACAAAGATGGTAGATGGATTAAACCACTTCACACTACAGTTGAATGTTTTGCATTCAAAACTCAGATGAAGCTCCTTAGAAGAAAAATCAAACAGCAAAAAAACAATTAACCTATTTCCTGATTTGCTACACATTTTATATTTTAAAGGAGGGATTTTCCCCTTAGAAGGATATTTTGAAAAGGTATCCCAACCTGCAAAGGCTTGATCTATTCATAGACAAATTATTTTTAACTGTGTTCAGGTCATTGATGAGCCGCGCCAACTACACACCGTGATACAATAGTTAAAATCATGCGTCATATTTTAGATCTTTAATAAAAAATGTTATCATTTAGTATATATAATACTAATTCTCTGAATAACAGAATAGGGAACCATTTTAAGAAAATGTAAGATTACTGGATACAAAAATTGTAAATCTGCATTTTCGAAGTTCATTCAGTGATGTGACAGTTCCATAATATGTACCACATAGTATTTCAATACTACTTATGCCTTTGTAAATGTTTGGAGGTGGGGGAACCAAATAGATTCCCTAACCCTTGAATTATAGCAATGGATGTTCACTCTGATAATTTTATATTGCAGACTATTTAACTTCTAAATCTAAACAGCCACAAGGAGTGCTATTTTGGATAAATGGGAAAATATGAGCAAGAACAATATTGTATAACCATCCATCGACTATGTTGACTAGCTGCCAAAACTGTGAGGCAAGGATTTCACTTGCTTCTTAGCCTGAACTCTTCCCTACATTCTAAGCAATATTATGGCTAACTACCTTTGCAAGAGAATTGTAGCACTAAACTGATAAGTATCAGCAATCTATGCTCAGTAAATGAATGATCAGGAATGTCTGAAATGGCCATTATACCAGTTCTGCAACATAACACCATAATAGTAAGCACACATGCCTAAGCATATTTAGGACTGGGCTACTCTCTCTCACCAAATCCCCTTTGCTGAAGCACTTTGAATTCAGTGGCAACTGTCCAAATTACAGTAAATTGTCTGAGTACCAATGTATTTAAATTACAAAGAAAGGGGGCATTGATACTGGTTATCACCTATGCTTGTAACATATTTTAGAAATAATGTTATGTAATTTGAGCCAAGGGAACTTTGCAGAACATTTCAATGGTAAGACTAGGGTATAACTGCAAAAAGAAAATATATATATATCATGGTGATATTATGCCAGTCGCAAGCTATTCCAGATGGGATTGTGATGATGCCAAGTCTATTTTTGGCTTTAATAACCTTAAAAGAGTCCCATTTGGCAAAGCCATTCTACTTCCCAGTCCTATTCTCTCCCACCCACACATTTATCGCTATTGGATAAAGTCACTTACACGTCCGTGTTTACAGATGTAATCAAATAATTCTCCACCGGACACATATTCCATTACCATGAAAAAATCCGTTGGCGTGCTGATGACCTGGTACCTATTAAAAAGGAAGAGGAAATATGATTTCTTATCTAAAAGGCTTTCACTAGTAAAGGCTAGAAAAAAGGATTGAAGACCTCTTACTAATCTAATGCCAACCTTAAAATAAGAAATTGGATTTCACTTTGCACATAATTGCTTCTCACTTCCGAAGGAGAAATTGATTACATTTTCACAATACAAACCAATTTGAAGGCTTCTGGACTTTGTTAAATGAGTGTATTTTACAGATTTTAGCTTTTTCCCCTCTTCTTTAAGCCTGTTTAATCCTCTGAAATCTTTGCTCACTGAGCCTGCCTCATTTAGGTAGAGCTTAGAAAGTTACTTTTAAGAAAAATGTAATGACTTGCTAAAGGAATCCATAACTGAGTGGTGGTAGGATGATGCCCTGGATCCCAAAGCACCATCCCACCACTGCTCAGTTATGGATCTTTTAAGCTCTCCTAAGCTCTCTTATTTTCCTTTAAGCCCTGCTATGGTAAAAACCATCTTTCAGATTTTCATTTTAGTTGAAGGTGCACAAAAAAGTAAAAAGGTAAAAATTGTAATGCAATAAGGCTAGGGAAGGAGTCACGCAACCCACACATAACCCAGGGAACTAATGTGGTTTGAGTGATTATCCTTGATCACTACACACTAGAATATATGAAGGTTTTGTTTCAAACTCATTACTGCCAGAGGAACACAACAACACCAAAACCAGTAATACCTTGAAAAGATGATCTACTTCAGTCAACTAAAATTGCTGAAGTGGCAGGCTGTGACACTCCAAAGGGTTCAAAAATTGGATGGTATGACCCTGCAGGCTTATATCTTTTCCAGTAATAATTTGATATGGTAAATATGAATCCAAATGTCAACAGAAGTTATATGTCTTCCGCCATGTCACAGATCCTTCCATCTCCCTCTAGCCTTGCATCTCATACACAAATGAGATGTGAGGCTGGATAGACACTCGGGATCTGTGAAAGGGTGGTAGACATGGATTCGTGCTCCTGGATTCCCATCATTTCACAGACCCTGTCTGTGTTCAGCTTTGTATCTAATTCATAGAAGAGATGCAAGGCTGGAGAAAGACCAAGGATATGAGAGACTAAAAAGTAAGGGAGCATCGTCGAAGGCTTTCATGGCTGGAATCACTAGGTTCTTGTGGGTTTTTTTCAGGCTATAGAGCCATGTTCTAGAGGCATTTCTCCTGACGTTTCGCCTGCATCTATGGCAAGCATCCTCAGAGGTAGTGAGGTCTGTTGGAATTAGGACAATGGGTTTATATATCTGTGGAATGGCTGGGGTGGGGCAAGGAGCTCTTCCCTGTTGCAGTTAGGTGTGAATGTTTCAGCTGATCACCTTCATTAGCATTTGATTGCCTGACAGTGCCTCTAGCCATCTTTTGTTGAGAGATGTTTGATGTGCCTGATTGTTTACTCTCTGTTGTTTTGCTGTTGTAATTTTAGAGTTTTTTAATACTGGTAGCCAGATTTTGTTCATTTTCATGGTCTCTTCCTTTCTGTTGAAATTGTCCACATGCTTGTGGATTTCAATGTTCAGCAAAGGACAAGAGGGATCCTCTCACCTCTGCAGGAGTCTACCGTATACCATGCAGCTGTGGACAAGTCTACATAGGGACCACCAAACGCAGCGCCCAGACACGCATCAAGGAACATGAAAGGCACTGCAGACTACTTCAACCAGAGAAGTCAGCCATAGCAGAGCACCTGATGAACCAACCTGGACACAGCATATTATTTGAGAACACAGAAATGCTGGACCACTCCAACAACCACCATGTCAGACTACACAGAGAAGCCATTGAAATCCACAAGCATGTGGACAATTTCAACAGAAAGGAAAAGACCATGAAAATGAACAAAATCTGGCTACCAGTATTAAAAAACTCTAAAATTACAACAGCAAAAAACAACAGAGAGGAAACAACCAGGCACAGATTAACACCTCCCAGCAAGAGATTTTCCCAGGCTCAGGCAGGCCTCCAAATGCTAATGAAGGTGATCAGCTGAAACATTCACACCTAACTGCAGCAGGGAAGAGCTCCTTGCCCCACCCCAGCCATTCCACAGATATATAAACCCATTGTCCTAATTCCAACAGACCTCACTACCTCTGAGGATGCTTGCCATAGATGCAGACGAAACGTCAGGAGAAATGCCTCTAGAACATGGCTCTATAGCCCGAAAAAACCCACAAGAACCTAAGGGAGCATCAGCTGCTGTCACGGACAAAATAGTTGGCAAGAAAAGGGTTTGGAGGTTTTTGGATTTCCAGATAACAGAGGCTGAACCTATATTTTCATTTTGGAAGAAGCCTTTGCTATCTAATTTCTTAGCTTTATCATGAATTGGTAAAGCTGATGTTGACTCTTCCATCCTCAGAATGAGTATTGTATGATAATAACAATCACTATTATCTCTACTAATGAATGCATGTCTTTCTGGGTCCAGGTAAATTGAATTCAAGGTACGGATCTCTTTATCGTGCACATTCCCCACTGTATTAATTAAATTGATATTTTTCTTTCTCCAGAAATGACCAATCAGATGGTACCAGAAAGAAACCAAGCACACATATGTGGAAACAGGAATCTCTATGGTTTGTCTTCAATATTAGAGTCCAGAAGTATACTGCTTTTCAACACTGGAGGTTATAGGATGGCTACTGATTTCATATTGCACTATGTGCGAAATGGAGCCTGTGGGGCTTCCAGTCATAGCCTTTATATGGATATTCCAGTCTGTAAATCATAATTCCTTTAGTTTGTTCATCTAAAACAATTAAATTATGTCTAAACATAAAGTAAAATCTATTTCTAACTTCATGGGGTCTAAATGTGCCAAACATCTCAGAAGCACTCTCAACTCCTCTGTAGAAAGAATTTCCCAATTATACAGCAAACTCTCCCACAACAGTACATCAAATATATTATAAAAGTACATCAAATATATAAATCATAACTAGATTTTCTTCTGTTTGTAAGTGAAAAATGAGGATAATCTAGTCACTGCAGGTTCGCTAACACAAGTCCACAAATGAACAGAAGAGCAACATTTTATAACATTACTTTATCGGCAATCTTCTAACTAAATTTTAATAATATTATGGCACAAAAAACAATAGCATAAACAGGCAATGAAGTTTTATTACTTCCTTTTCTGTCTCTTTTTATCTTACACACAAATAGTATTAGTGAGAGGCTTCAACTAGGCCCAATAGAACTTAATTCTGAATATAATTTTTACAGTTCTGACAGAAAGGCAGGATATACATCAAATAAATAATAAATACACAAAGGATTGAATTTCATCTCATTCCAAAATAATAGACATGCAGTAAACTGTCAGCAATTCAGTATCACTAAAGGCATCTTTCTTTCAGACCACACATAAATATGATACATTAAGGGAAGGAGGGACAGAAACACTTACAGTTTGATAATATGGGGGTGCCGGAAAAGCTTTAAGTTTTGAATTTCTCGTTTGATCTTTCCAACCACATCCAAACTACGAATTTTTTGCCGATTCAAAATTTTAACTGCTACTTTATGTCCTGTGAGCTGATGTTCACCAACTAAATAAAGAGAAAAGTTGGATGTTAACTGACGAAAGACTCTAGATCAAAAATCTAAGCTTCCTCAAATATGACTTTTATCATTTATAATAATTAACAATGCAACCAAATGCCTTTTCAGAAGTAGATTCCTCTTGCTTTCAGTGAGATGTATTTCCTTGTCAATATGTATAATACAGCATAGTCCTGTATCCACACACTTGGGAGTAAGTTTCCATGGACTCAATAGGTGTTTGACCTGTAAACATACACAGGATACATTTGGAAGATTTTGGATGTATCTACACTGTAGAATGACTGCTGTTTGACACTACTTTAAATACCACTTGAACTACCATGAAATCCCGGGAGCTGCAGTATTACTTGACAAATCCTTAACATTCTCTACCAAAGTGCTGGGCCACACTAAACTACAAATCCCAGGATTCCATAGCATTGAACCATGGAGGTCAAAGTTGGGTCAAACTACATTAATCCAACAGTGCTGCCTTTGTCTCAGTCTCAACCCATTATTCTTAATGGGTTTACTTTATTTATAATTTAATTCCATTTAATTGCTACCCCACCTTTCTCCACAGGACCCAATTCAAAGAGGAAAAAAATATAGTTATCTGTAAATAGATGGCTTGCCATGCTAACAACAGCAACAACAGCAGTGAAATGTTGTAATTCACCACCCTGACTGTGAACGGAGGAGAATACCATTTTCTAGTGGCTTGGGAATAATGGGGAGAACCCTACAAAGAAGAGCAACGTTTACACTTCACTTACTATTATAATTGTACTGTAGTTACGAGTGCTTAGTCTACCCAGTTTGAAACAAGTGAGTTTTAAACCTTGATGAGGCTAAGAAGCTAGAGACAAACTATCTTCAGTTGTGGATGTGACTTGGCTAATAAAAACAGCAGAGTGGTAATGCAGTAGCTGCATAAGTTGAGCAAGGCACTATTATTAGAAGAGATAAGAGTGGCCTGAAATTTTTTCCTCAGTAAGAGTGTTCTAAAAATAAGGTGCCTTGCCATGTATACTTCAAAATAAAAACACTTCTGCTTGCTAGCTTGTATATGCTTCCCTCTAAGTTCTAACCCCCCCCCCCAAATTTAAAAGATTATATTCTTTATTCTGTGCATACACAGTTTGTACAAAAGTTCTCATGACAAAGGTAAGTGAAGGTCTGTGCCTATAAAAGGTAGTGTGGAAGAACATATTTTTCTGGAGCTGAAATAGCATGTTGCTAGGGAATGTAAAACACCCTAAGAAAGGCTTCAAGTTATGATTGCCATGAAATAGTAGGAAGGATAAAGAAGAATTATTATTCATTTTCTAGTTATGTATATAGGGAGCCTAGAAAGCATTCAATTCCTCATTATCTGCTGCACCACTGTGCTATTTCCCCAAACACTCTAAGGCAGGCAGGATCCAAACAGGCCCTTGTCCCAGAAGCATCTGCATTAACATAACATGGATGTTTCTGAGGGCCTGTCCACATAGAAATGATGGGCCAGGAAAGTGGGGGGAGAGTGATTTTCCTCCCCCCCCCCCCCGCTCTTCTGGCACATCATTTCTACGCACCAGTGGAGCCCATCTGGGCTTCAAATGGCGTGGAATAAATCCACTATCTAATTAATTCACTATGAACCAGGGMTTTCCTGGTTTGTAGCYAATTAGTTCGGGACTGTCCAGAACGTTGTCTGGACAGCCCTCCTTTATTGTGGGAGTTTCTGCAATAAAGGCCCTGTCTGGACGGCCCCTAGAGGAATACAATGTCCTTAAAATTTCAGAGTAAAAACAATTATATATGGCATAAACCTTCGTGTCTTCTTAATAATAAAACACTTGTTGATCTTCAGGGCATTGCAATTCTATTCGCTCTTTTTGTGTTCCTTCGCCTCTATAAATAAGACACACATCATGTAGCGTTTTATATCCAGGGTGATCAGAAATAGGGTATGGCTTTTTTTACACTAAGCAACTGCAGAAAAGAGGGGTTTTTTTTGTTCAACCAATAATACTAATAATAATAACAACAACAACAACAACAACAACAACAACAACTTTATTTATATCCCACCACCATCTCCCCGAAGGGGTTCGGGCAGCTTACAAGGCACTCCAGGATGCACATATAACATACAGCAGGTAAAAATGGTACAAAAGTATAAAACACGTCACAAAAAAATTTAACAACCCTGGTCAACAAATGTAGCCTAAAATTAAAATAATACAATTTTAAAACAGCAGTAGATAAAACTTACTGTCATCATTTCACAAGGTGCCATATTGTATTCCTACAACTAGTAGCAATACAATATGGTAAGTCGTACTTGCCTAAAACACACACATTCCTTTCTACATGAGTATTAAAATGACCACAACATTATCTGCTTTTGTATCTGGTCATATGTGATGTTTCTACTCTATAGAATTAATGAAGTTTGACACTATCATAATTGCCATGGCTAAATCATAGTTGTGATTTCATAAGGTCTTTAGACTACTCGGCCAAAGAGTTCCAGTGCCTCTCCATACTACAGTTCCCACAATCCCATAGCACAGAGCAGTGGCAGTTAACGTGATGCCAAGCTGCATTAATTCAACAGTGTATATATGCCCTTGTTCAGCCTCTAAGTAGACATTCAGGATGCTATTAAACCCATTCATAGTGGTGTTGGTTCCAAAATCCAAAGTGGGATAATACAGCCAATAAAATAGGCTCCAGTGTTTAATGGAGCTGGGCAAGTTAACTTAGAAATTGTAGCTAACAGCTTTCTTTCTTTCTTTCTTTCTTTCTTTCTTTCTTTCTTTCTTTCTTTCTTTCTTTCTTTGATTGCCCCCTTTTGTGCCTATTATAACTTTTACTTGTCCTGCACATATTAGTCAATGATAATAGCTATCCCCATTGTCTAAAAAGCTTCTCCTTCCCAATGCCTGAATATCAAGTTTCTTTTAAGAGCACAGAAGTTTTTTTTATTATTTTCTTGGCAATTGTACTGATAATATTTTTTCTTTGGGAGATGACACAACACAGATGCCAGCTGTATACACACATGGAAATAAGCTGGGATTCAGGAACAGAGGGAATAACACTCAGTGTGTTACAATATGCAGCCTAAATCGCCCACTTTATGTACACTTTTTTGGTTCAGAAGCTGTAGTCACAGCTTGTTTTGAGCCATCAAGGATGCCTCATCGTCCCTTTGCCCCTGAAATTTCAGCAAGTAACTAATCTAAGAAAAGTCTGGGTATGTGACAAAAATGTAGAGTTATTCCAAAAAAAGGGGAAATTTCCAGAAGTCCACTTCTGATTTTGAAAAATGGTTGGGTTTTTTTTTGGGTCTATTTTCCTGTTCCTTATTCTCTTCAATTATCTGGTAACCTCTACTTCGATTACTTGGGGGGGGGGGGGTCCACATAGGCATAGAATCACCTCCTCTCAGCCTTCTCTTCTGCAGGCAGCTCTTTAAGCCGCTCCTCATAGGGTTTGTTCTCCAGATCCTTGATCATTTTAGTCATCCTTCTCTGGACATGCTTCTGAACTATAGAATTAATACATTTGATATCACTTTGGCTGTCATGGCTCAGTGCTGTGGAATCATGGGAGTTATACATCTCATACTTGCACTGGATTGCACTGTGGTAGTTAAAGTGGTGTCAAACAGCATTAATTCCACAGTGTAGATGAACCCATATCAAGAAAGAAAATGGCTAGTTGTATGCTCGATTAACAGATTAGTCTGATCTCCCTTTCTCATCACCCCTGACCTTATTAAGATTAATTGTGCTGTATTCATTATTCTTGAGAAGAACTTTCCCCCTAAACATCCATTCCTCTTCCTGAAGTCTAAAGAAACATTAATCAGGAAAACAAATGAGGACAACATTATTTTGCTAGTTGTAGTTCATCTCCGATAGCTCATTTATAAAAGACATGTGTCTCAATATGGCTTTCTTACCGCCGATACATTAATAATTGATAATAAACAGTCTGCTTTGTAATCTATCATTTGCTTACAGTAAGCAACAGATACAAAGATATTATTGTTTCGTTCTCTTGGGACTTGTTAAGGCTACTTGAATGTCTTCAGAGACGGAGACAAGAGAGGAGCTTTTATTTATTGTGTGGTGTAGCAACTCAGGTTTCTCATGTGGCAGTTCTATCTCTATCAAGCTAAATGGTAGTACAGTACTGCATTTCCCAAAGGCACCTGTGAGTTTGTGTATGTGTTAACAGAATATTAAACCTGCATTCTACAAGACAATGTCCCCTTGAGGTGTACGATCTTGGCAAGATTAAGAGAAATAGTTCGATTCAGCAAACCTTAGGAGGTCAAGTGTTTGCTATTCTGTGCTGTTTCTAAACTTCTATGTGTGTATTTACACTTTAAAATGAGGACAGTTTAACAGTTACACACTAAAAGGACACTTTCAGGTTTCCAAAAGAACTTATTAAATATGTATAATTTTGTATTTATTTACCTGTCCTCACATTAGTCATTGTAACATACCCATGGACGAAGGCCACAATCCTTTGCCCATTTGCTGACCTCAATGGGACTTTCTTTTTTAGACATATACTTAGGTTGTGACAAATGCATGTCAGGGCTAAAAGCTTTCCTGACTTCTTTCTGCTAATTCTTACTTGTAAGTACAAAGGTAAAAGGTAAAGGTTTTCCCCTGACATTAAGTCCAGTCGTGTCCAATTCTGGGGGTTGGTGCTCATCTCCATTTCTAAGCCGAAGAGCCGGCGTTGTCCATATTTATTTATTTATTTATTTATTAGATGCACTTATTAACCGCCATTCTCAGCCCTTACGGGCCGTAGACACCTCCAAGGTCATGTGGCCAGAATGACTGCATGGAGCGCCCTTACCTTCCCGCCGAAGTGGTACCTATTGATATGCTCACATTTGCTGTTTTCGAACTGCTAGTTTAGCAGAAGCTGGGGCTAACAGTGGGAGCTCATGCTGATGTAAGTGCAAAGCTAAATGGGAAATACAAACTTAAAGAGGGGAAAAATCCCCAATGGAAAAAGCAAAGGAATTCATTTGGTAATTCTGTAATGGACAGTGTTGGAATGCCAAGCGTATCTATGCTATAGAATTAATGCAAACTGACATCACTTTAGCTACCATGGCTCAATGCTATGGAATCTTGGGAATTGTAGTTTTACAAGGTTTTTCGCCTTCTCTGCCCAAGCGCTAGTGGCTCACCAAACTGTAACTACTTACACTCCAGGCACCAATCATAAAATTATAGAATCCTAGAGTTGGAAGAGACCTCGTAGGCCATCCAGTCCAACCCCCTGCCAAGAAGCAGGAAAATCACATTCAAAGAACCCCCGACAGATAGCCATCCAGCATCTGTTTAAAAGCTTCTAAAGAAGGAGCCTTCACCACACACTGGGGCAGAGAGTTCCACTGCTGAACAGCTCTAACTGTTAGGAAATTCTTCCTAATGTTCAAGTGGAATCTCCTTTCCTGTAGTTTGAAGTCATTGTTCTATGGGTTGTTGTGAGTTTTCTGGGCTGTATGGGTAAGTTCCAGAAGCATTCGCTCCTGACATTTCACCTGCATCTATGGCAGGCATCCTCAGAGGTAGTGAGGTTATTGTTCCATGTCCTAGTCTCCAGGGCAGCAGAAAACAAACCAACCATATTAGAAAGAGCCAAGGTACAGTTTTATGACAGATGTACTGCGCTGTGCCTACACTGGGGGAAAGTTTATCTTGCCCAAAGTGTCACACAATACATGCTTACTAGGCTTAGAAAAAGGGAACTAGGAAAGACAGCATGATTCATCAAGAGAAGTCCCATGTGTGTGTCACTACACTTGTTCTCCTGTGTTTCCCCCTCACTTCTATGGACTGTAATTTTTCTTTTTGTGCCTTCTCCAATGCCCAAAGATATATGTACATTAAACAAGGCAGGGACGTGTCTTAATTCTCATCCTCACTCTCCAATACTCCATCCAACCATAGGCCAATATGTAGGTAAAGGTAAAGGTTTTCCCCTGACATTAAGTCCAGTCGTATTCAACTCTAGGGGCTGGTGCTCATCTCCATTTCTAAGCCAAAGAGCCAGCATTGTCCATAGACATCTCCAAGGTCATGTGGCCAGCATGACTGCATGGAGTGCCATTACCTTCTTGTCAAGGTGGTGCCTATTGATCTACTCATATTTTCATGTTTTTGAACTGCTAGGTTGGCAAGAGCTGGGGCTAACAGCGAGAGCTCATGCCGCTCCATGAATTCGAACCTGCGACCTTTCGATCAGCAAGTTCAGCATCTCAGTGGTTTAACCCACCGTGTTACTGGGGCTCCAGTATGTGGTAATCCTATATGTAGAAAGCAGTAGAATAATGCTTGCATTTTGGATTGGTTTTGTTTTTGTTGTTGTTGTTATTATTATTATTATTATTCACCCACCTTTCTCTCAAGGCAAGGGACAATACAGTTAAAATATATAGATAACAAGATCATTAAAACATTTATAAAATAGACTCAACTAACTGGCAAAAAAAATCAAATAAATTACTCAGCATTCACAAAACTGTTTTTACAATACAATAAAACTGTGATAAATTAAGCTTCATCTGTCCTAAATGACTTTCCATTGCTGTATTTCAATATTAATATTGTCAATACAGAGTTTATGGCACAATATGGTACAGTATAGGGTAGAATATGAGGCCTATTTTTACTAGTAACTCGCAAGCAACCAGAAACCACATTTATTTGGCATTTATACTGTTTTTTATTGATGGCATTGAATTGTTGTCAACACTGTGAACCACTCAGTCCTCTTCGGGGTTGAGAAGGGTGGTATACAAATACTGCAAATAATTAAATAAATACATCTAGCAATCCCTGTGGGTGCCAGTTAACTGAGATTGTAGGAGCTCCCGGTGGCACAATGGGTAAAACTCTTGTGTTGGCAAAACTGCTGACCGAAAAGTCGGCAGTTCAAATCTGAGGAGCAGGGTGAGCTCCTATCTGTCAGCTCCAGCTTCTCATGCTGGGACATGAGAGAAGCCTGCCCAGGATAGTAAAACATCCATGTGTCCCCTGGGAAATGTCCTTGCAGATGACCAATTCTCTCACACCAGAAGCAACTTGCTGTTTCTCAAGTCGCTCTTGACACAAAAAAACCCCTCAGAGTCTACAGTATTATGTATATACTTGTTGGCAATGAATATTTGCCTTTTCTGTTGTCAGACACTCTGAGTCCCGTGTTGGGAGGTGGGCGGGATATAAATAAAGTTTTATTATTATTATATTACATAGCAGAGGTGATATTAAAAACACGTTAAGATCATTTGTACCAAGTGTTTGCCTTTGACAATGAGACAGGTCCACCAACGACTCCACCTCTGCTTTGAGAAATACCCCCAGACCTTCAACCCCAGTGCTCTTGCATTTTTGGACTCTCAACTCCCAGAAGCCTCCGCTGTCAGGGCCAATGAGCAGGGATTCTGGGAGCTGGAGTCCAAAACACCTGGGAGACCAGAGTTTGGGAGGCAAGGCTCCAGACCAGAGCATGATTTCTCCCTCTCCCTCTACATATATACTCTGTGTGTGTGTGTGTGTGTGTGTAAAGAGAGAGTGCATATAGTGTGTGTGTATATGTATATATACCATCTGTGTGTGTGTGTGTGTGTGTGTGTGTGTGTACCAGGAATGAGCAAACTTTGCCCCTCCAGGTGTTTTGGACTCCAACTCCCACAATTCCTAACAGCCTACCAGCATGCATGCATACTGTGTGTATGTATATACCAGGCATGCACAAACTTGCGTCTTCCAGGTGTTTTGGACTTCAATTCCCACAATTCCTAATGTATGTGTATGTGTGTGTATACACATACTGTGTGTATGCTGGCTGTCAGGAATTGTGGGAGTTGAAGTCCAAAACACCTGGAGGGCTGAAGTTTGCCCATTCCTTGTATACACACACACGCACACACAAGCATGCATGTTTGGGTCCTTCTGTGTTTTGGACTTCAACTCCCACTATTCCTAATGTATGTGTATGTGTGTGTATACACATACTGTGTGTATGCTGGCTGTCAGGAATTGTGCGAGTTGAAGTCCAAAACACCTGGAGGCAGGCCCGTAGCCAGGATTTTGATTTGGGGGAGGGGGCTGAGTTTGATTTGGTGGGGGGGGGGCTGGGCTGAGTCCGAGCGAAAGAGGGTTTACCCTAGCAAACCTTTTGTATCGTTACCCCAATACCCCCATGCGTATGGGATATATTGAGTATGGTGATTAGATCATGATATGAATAAACATAACAGTTTAAATAATGCACCAGTAAGGCCTTCTCGTGGACCACCATGAGAATTTCGGGGGGGGGGGGGCTGAAGCCCCTCAAGCCCCCCCCCCCCCCCCGCTACATGCCTGCCTGGCGGGCCCAAGTTTGCCCATTCCTGGTATACAGATACATGCACACACAAGCATGCATGTTTAGGTCCTTCTGGTATTTTGGACTTCAACTCCCACAATTCCTAATGTATGTGTGTGTGTGTGTGTGTATGCATACTGTGTGTATGCTGACTGTCAGGAATAGTGGGAGTTGAAGTCCAAAACGCCTGGAGGGCCGAAGTCTGCCCATGCCTGGGATATAGTCTAAAGATGCTTTTGGACAACGGGAAGAGGTAAACAGTGATGTCCCCAATGAGCTGATATCTTGACCAAGGTTGGGGTGGGTTCCTCCTTGCTGCCATGGGCATTTGGGAGACCCCGGGGGAGGGCTTTAAAAGACTGGAGCTGGCCTCAAAGAAGGGGCGTCCTAGAGGCGCAAGAGAAGCGCTCATTGGGCTCCTGCCTGGATGGGAAGCGCTGGGAGTGCGCTCTCAGGACCGGACCCCTTCTCTCCCTCCCTCATTCCCTCCCTCCTTCTCCGCGGCGCCTCCCTGGGAGATACTCAGCTCTTGACTTTGCCGAAGGTGCCGACGCCCAGCGTGTCCCCCAAAACGTAGTGCCCGATCTTGACGCGCCCGTCGTGCTTCTGCGGCGGCGGAGGCTTCTCTGCCATCTTCGCTGCTCCTGCCGCTTCTGCTTCTGCTGCTGCTGCTGCTGCTGCTCTTGGCAGCTTTGCCTCCGCCGACACCGGCCGGGCCGGACCACAATGCAGCAGGGCCGGCGGCAAAGGCGGCGGGGAGGGATGGGGAGGGCGGCGGGGAAAGGAGGAGGCAGCAGGCGAGGAGAGGCAGCAGCAACAGCCCAGGCAGCAGCAGAGCCCAGAGGAGGGGAAGGGAAGGGAAGGGAAGGGAGAGAGGTGGGCAGGTACGCAGGAGAAGAGGCAGGAAGGCATTTCTTCTCCCTGGGGATGGCTAAAACATGTCTCTCTCTCTGTGTGTTTTCTCTCATTTATTCATATATATATATTCTAATTACACTATGCAACACGATTTTTTTTTTGTTCCTGGTTTATAAATGTCATTTCCTAATTGGTTCCATCATCAAAATATGTGGAAATTTTATGACATTGTGTTGTCTTGGCTGGAATGACTGGGTTGCTGTGAGTTTCCCGGGCTGTATGGCCATGTCCCAGAAGCATTCTCTCCTGACGTTTCACCCACATCTATGGCAGGCATCCTCAGAGGTTGTGAGGTCTGTTGGAAACGAGGCAAATGGGGTTTATATATCAGTAGAATAATCCCCAGGGTGGGAGAAAGAGCTTTTCTCTGCTTGAGGCAAGTGTGGATGTTGCCATTGGCCACCTGGATTAGGATTGAATGGCCTTGCAGCTTCAAAGCCTGGCTAGGTGGAATCCTTTGTTTGGAGGTGTTAAAGGTAAACATGTATTGTAGAAGAGTTTCACAGCTGGAATCACTGGGTTGTTGTAGGTTTTTTCAGGCTATATGGCCATGTTTTAGAGGCATTCTCTCCTGATGTTTTAGAGAATGCCTCTAGAACATGGCCATATAGCCTGAAAAAACCTACAACAACCCAGTAATGGTAAAGGTTTCCCCTTGACATTAAGTCTACTTGTGACCGACTCTGGGGGCTGGTGCTCATCTCCATTTCTAAGCCAAAGAGCCGGCGTTGTGTATAGACACCTCCTAGGTCATGTGGCCATGACAGATGGAGTGCCCTTACCTTCCTGCCAAACCGGTACCAATTGATCTACTCACATTTTCATGTTTTTAAACTGCTAGGTTGGTAGAAGCTGGGGCTAACAATGGGAGCTCACCCTGTCCTGTGGATTCAAACCCCCAACCTTCCAATCAGCAAGTACTGCAGCTTAGCGGTTTAACTCACTGCACCCTAATCAGGACAGTAAGTAAAGAACAACACTCAGAAAACAGGGGAATTCCAGACAAGAAACAACCAGGGTCAGCTAACACATCCCAACAAAGGATTCCCCCGGGCAGTAACCAGCCAGGCTTGAAGCTGCAAGGTTATTCAATGCTGATCAAGGTGACCAATTGCAACACTCACACTTGCCTCAAGTAGACAAGAGTTCTTTGTTCTACCCTGGACATGCCACAGATATATAAACTGCACTTGCCTAGTTTCCAACAGACCTCACAACTTCTGAGGATGCCTGCCATAGATGTGGGGGGAAACATCAGGAGAAAATGCTTCTGGAACATGGCCATACAGCCTGGAAAACTCACAGCAACCCAGTTTATTACATTGCAAAAACTGTGTTTTTTGCAGGACACCTTGCAGCACATTTTGCTAGAGTTTTGCAATGAATGTCTCATCAGGTCTCAACCAATTCAACATAGTTTGTGGAAGCCACAAAAATGAAGATTCTGGACTACAGCAACTACTTTCAAAGTAAGTACCGCATAACTAAACAGGAAATAACACTTTCAAACCAGGAACAGATGTTTCTTTTTCAAATTTTGTTACATAGTGTTATTAGAAGCAGTCATTGTTTTTTGGATTTTATGAATGGTCTCATTAGGAAATGCATAAGGATGGGGAATAGATTACATATCCCATCATCATCTGTCATTGCCCTCAAATGGTGCCAGTAGTTAAAGTTGGCCATGATGGGTAAGTGTGCCAAGTTTGATTGATTGAATTCATGGTGCTCCCTGGACATGGGTGGACTGCAATTCCCAACATCTTCTTTCATTGGCCAACCCCCACCAGTACTTAAAGATGGGGATGTGTGCCATGTTTGGTACAGATCCATCATTGGTGGAGTTCAGCATCCTCTTTGATTGAGTGGACAACAACTCCCAGCATCCAAGGTCAAACCCCCACCCCCACCAGTACTTAAAGTTGGTCATGTTGCTTATTTGTGCTAAGTTTTGTCCAGATACGTCATTGGCTGGGTTCAGAGTGCTCTTTGTGAATGGACTATAATTCCCATCACCTGGCCCACAGCAACAAATATACATGCACACTCTCAGTTAACTTGTGCCCATGGGGATTGATAGAAGCCAGATAAATGTAGTTCCTAGTTGCTTCAGAGTTACTATTCTGAGTTACTATTAAAAATATGCCGAGTACTATAGCATGCCATAAACTCTGTATTGATTGGGCATTAATACAGAAATACAGTAATTAAAAGAAAATTAAGAAAAATAAAATACTTAATTTAAAACAGATTTACTGTATTATAAAAACAGCTTTGTTAATGCAATGTTATTTATTTGATTTTTTTTTTGCTTAAGAGTTCTAGATACTTGAGTTGTGGGTAATTGCGCTTCAACAGACACACACACACCACACACTTAAAGGCACACAATGAGAGAGAGAGAGAGATACAAGAAATACATCCAAAAACAACAAACAAAAAGTCACCATGTCTTCCAACTTTCGTTTCAATAGCTATATGTCATAGTCCTATAGGGCTATAATTCTGGAGCCCAAGGTTCACATTCCCACCCAGACATGGCTACTGACTAGGTGACCTTGGGCAAGTCATATTCCCTCCACTTCACAGGAATCTAAAGGCAAATCCCCTCTGAATGCATATTGCCAAGAAAACTCTGTAAAACCCTGTGGTTGGGTCACCAGGAAAAGCTTGAAGGCACACATCAACCAATATAGATACTGTATTTCTGCAATTCTAAGACACTCTTTTTTCCAATATAAATATTAGGGCTGGGCGGTTTCGTTTCGTTAATTCGTAATTCGTTAATAATTCGTTAATTTTTTTAATTACAAAACGATAACGAACCATTCTGGAGCAATCTTTAAAAAAACCCGAATTTTTAAATAATTTTGTAAATGCTTCGTATTTTGTTATTGTATCCGTTTCGTTATTGTTTTGAGGTCGTTTAGTTATTATTTCCGCATGTCTGGGGCAAGTTTTATGGTTGTTTTTTGTTTAATTAGTGAAAAAAAATTATAATATCACACCAACAGTCAACAACAGAGGGAGAGGGAAGCTTCAGAAGTTTTTGGAGGTTTTTTAGCGTATTTCGTGGTTGCGTCCGCCATTAACGAATCGATTCGTTATTGTTTCGGAAATCGATTCGTTAATGTTTTGTAATTTTTTTCACATTTACGAAATTTCGTAAATATCAAACTTTTTAAAAGGAAAATTTTGTAATTATTTTAAATAACGAAACGCAAAAACCCCCAAAAAACGAATCGATTTTAGAAACAAATTTTTCCGTTGTTACCCAGGCCTAATAAATATCTCTAAAATCATATACTCATAGAGTTGGAAGAGACCTCATGGGCCATCCAGTCCAACCCTCTGCCAAGAAGCAGGAAAATCACATTCAATGGGGTGAGTCTTAGAACCACAGGTGTACTTTATGTATTTTTGTAGGTGATACTGGAATAAGGATGCATCTTACAATTGATGGTATCTCACAATTGAAAAAATATGGTATATAGAAAAAATACAGCTAAAATCAACAGCAACAAAGAAATTTACAATGACTTCCAACATTCCTTATGATTATAAGTGAAATAACTGTATATAAAATCCTACTTCTCCCACTAAAACAGTATTCTACTTATTAAACTGAATCCACGTGTTATTCTCTTTTCTCTGTAAAAAGATAATTGTAAGTTTCCAATTTTTCAAAAATGTCTCCAATGACTTTTTTCACATCAAAGCAAATAGTTTCTCATTTTCTGCAAAATCCTTCATTTTTAACAACCTTTCATTGGCATCCCTGCATTAATAGAATAATAGAGTTGGAAGATACCTCGTGGGCCATCCAGTCCGACCCCCTGCCAAAAAAGCAGGAAAATCGCATTCAAAGCACCCCTGCCAGATGTCCATCAAGTCTCAATTTGAAAGCCTCCAAAGAAGGAGCTTCCACCAGACTCTGGGGCAGAGAGTTCCACTGCTGAACGACTCTCACTGTTAGGAAGTTCTTCCTTATGTTCAGGTGGACTCCCCTTTCCTGTAGTTTGAAGCCATTGTTCTGCGGCCTTGTCTCCAAGGCAGCAGAAAACAAGCTTGCTCCTGCCTCCCGGTGACTTCCCCTCACATATTTATACATGGTCATCATGGCTCCTCTCAACCTCTGTTCTTCATTCATTTTTGTGCATATAGTATTCCTGCCATGGTAGTCATATATTGAAATAATTTCCCATATTTATTCTCCAGCTAGTCATCCATTAATCTTTGTTGTTTGTTTTTTCTTGAGCTGGAGCCAGCATGGTGGAATAGTTTGAGCATTGAGCTATGACACAAGATTCCAGGGTTTGGATTCTTGTTTGGCCATGTAACCCAATGTTGATGTGCAGGTACAGCTGTACCAGGAGCTCCAATTTTGTTTGCTTTGCATTGAATGTTTGTTGTAGTCCTAATTTCAGGGACTCTGCAGATAGGTGGCTTCTTTTGGCTGCAATCATAGGGCAAGCCACCTGTCAATTATCGTTAGGTTCCCTGGTCCCGCCCCCTTTTTGGGTTTTGTAGGGAATAGGAGCCATTTTGGGCCAGTCCACACAGAGAAGCCTTTCATGCAGGACATAATACCAAGAGATCCTGTAGAAAGCTTCGTCTTCTACGGCTTGGCCGGGAGATATACAGCCTTTCAGCTCCTTTGCTGAGGGAATCCGGTCTCACAGCACTTCAGCCAGCCATCACTGAAACCTGAACTCCTTCTTTCTTCCCTTGGAAGTCTACAAAGCTCTGCTTGGTAAGGGTCACTCGCGGAAGCCAGAAGCAGTTGGTACCGGGTGTAGGGGCTCCACGCCAACAGAGGCAAAGACAGACTGCCAAGATTAGAAGTTAAGGATTTCCCCATTAG